GAAGGCTCTGTTTTGATGTGAACTCTTTCTTTCAGCATCTATCTGCTGTACCACCTGCACCACCGCGATGCCTAACCCCGCGTTCGTACGGCTCCGCGGACTGCACGGCGCGTCTCAGCGTGGCGCATGCGCACAAGAAGTTAAGTCCAGGAAGTGGCAGTTATTCTCTCACGACAGACCCAAGCACCCCTCCTAGTGACAAAGGTGGGTACCTTTTTCTCAGTTCAAAGAGCGACACTTATCAACTGCCGTACCTCGCCAAGTATTCGCCTGAAACAAATATCGTTAATGATCTCTGTAGTTATCCATAATAATAATTACTTGATAACAACAATCTCCATTAAATGTAAGCCATTGAAACGTCACCCAACCTTGTGCCATATGGCCCATATTCGTTCGATTCACAATGCATTCCTCCTTATAAGGTGTTGTCCACAGATCACGAGAAAAACCCTGCTGAGGGAAGTCGTTTCTGGTGCGGTGCAGGGGGAATGTTACTTATCAGCTGGACTAGAGGGTTGCTATTGGTGGGAAGTGTGATACGTCAGAGTTTTACGCTACTACACACAGACTGAAAACATCAAGCAGTTAAGAGTAGCGTGTAGTGAGCGCGCCTCTAATGTGTTCTGCGGGTGCTGCGATAATATTCTAGATTAAATCACTGTGCCGCTGTGAGGTAATCTTAAAGCTGTACCCATTACAACACATGAACGCCTGTCGTCTGTTGTTCGTTCAGTGGTTGTGGAACGAATGCTTTTAGGATGGGTCGTCACTCACCGCGAAATCTTGCGCATGCGCGTATATCGAATTCCTAGCAGGGATTTTCTTCTGGTCTGCGGACTGTACAGCTCTAATGTGTTCTGTGAGTGTTGCGATAATATTGTAGATTAAATCATTGTGCCACTGTGAGGTAATCTTAAAGCTGTACCCATTACAACACATGAACGCCTATCGTCTGTTGTTCGTTCAGTGGTTGTGGAACGAATGCTTTTACGATCGGTTGTCACTCACCGCGAAATCTTGCGCATGCGCGTATATCGAATTCCTAGCAGGGATTTTCTCCTGGTCTGCGGACTGTAGACATGATTCGTAAATGAAATGCATCTCATTAATGCCATATCCGAGAGTGAATCTTTCAGTCCTTGTTAAAATTGTGTAGTATTACTTTGTTAAGTGAGCCGGGATAGCTCAGTCAGTATAGTGACTAGCTACGGGCTGGACGACCGGGGTTCGATCCCCGACGGGGGCAGAGGATTTTTCCTCTAGACTCTGCGTCCAGACCGGCTCTGGGGCCCATCCAGCCTCCGCTACAATGGGTACCGGGGTCCTTTCCCGGGGGTAAAGCCGGCCGGGGCGTGATGCTGACCACTCACCCCCATATAGTGCCGGGGTCAAGGAAGAGGGGAGCTATACCTCCACCCACCCCTAACTCCTACATGGCGTATAGCGGGACAAACTTTACTTTTTACCTACTTTTACTTTGTTAAACTTAGTACAGTTTAACGTGTAGCGTTAATAAGGGACATCTGTTACGGCTGCCGCTTTTACAGCGATTAAATTTTTGTAGTATTGTGTCTAAACAAACCAATTCCTCTAACAAACAAGACAGTGTCCTGGAATACATATAAAACTGTTTATCTGGGAATTTTTTGGATTCATAATTCATAGGAAGTAGTTTTAAGCGAATCAGTATGTAAATAAGTTGAACTACTTAATTCTGGCGTCGTTGAAGTTACGAGACTTATAACATATTAAGAAGTGGCGGAGAATACATTCAACAACACAGTGGAGATTATGCAAATGCTCTCTTGGGAAAGAAAATAAATAAATTTATACTTTGGTTATATGAAATGTAGCGAACGATTACGGATTATACTTGTCTTTAATTTTCCGTTCCTCTTCTTCTGTATCTTCCCTTTCTTCCGTTATCTCGGATTAGCTCCTCTACCAGTTCCGATTCAGAATTATTTCTGAAACAGTGAATGCATTAGGCTTCTGGCAGGTACTCCTGGAATGATGATCGTCTCGTTGCACCCTTGATGCCAAAATTTCAGTGGAAAATGGTATCCCCATTACTTCTGTCTAAATATAATTAAATCTTCTTTCAGTTCATTCTTGTTCGACTGGAAAAGAAAAATCAATCTTATAGTATAATGTAGGATGTTCTGTAACAAGTTACACTTTATCTAAAGCCTAATTATTCTGACTATTATTAATATTTTACGAAGCTGTTTCGACTCCGAAGATGACTTACTTCTGTGTTGTTGCACCGTGTAGTCTGGTAGAAGATTACCGACGTTTCTGAGGTCCTTGCTGCTTCCATTATGAGGGCGATCCGCCTTGAAATCCTCAAATCCTCTTCAACTCCATAGTTTGAATGTGTAAATATGATGGTGAGTAGTGAATATTTAATGATTTATAACGAGATGGTTGAGATTCATTTGAAGGTATTGCACCGAAATTCGCCTTCGTACTTAGTAATATCATGAGAGTTGTCAGGATAGTTGATAATCCAACCGGCTACTTCCTGGGTACAAGTAACAGCTACATCGTAGGATCGCCCTGATTATGGAGGCGACAAAGACCTCTGAAACGTCGGTAAACTTCTACCAGATCACACGGCGCAACGACCCAGAAGACAGCCATCTTCAACAGCTACATCGGTCTCGTCAAACATGAAGTACCACACGCCAAATGCTCTTGTAGATCTTTTAATGTAACTTAGCCAGAAATTGCCACACAGAATTCTTTGATGAACGGATTACATTTACGATGTATCGATAAGATATCATTTTGAAGAACCATTTTTGACAACGATAATACAAAAGCTTACTTCGTGCCATAGCCTGATTGCCTCTTTGTTGGAGTTTTTTCTTCGGTTCCTTAGAATGAAGGTCTGAATAAAATAGGATTCTGTCCCGTAATCTTCTTTGCTTTCTGGTCATTTTCCTTGAGATTCATTGTCACGTAGCAACCCTGGTGCGTCGATAAATTGAAAACTGCCTGGTAGGTGGGAAACTCATCCGACGGGAGCAGACAAAGGTCTCGTAACTGCGACATTCGCAGCTGGGCAAAAGTACAAAATGGCGTTCATTTAAACTTTATCGTGCATTGCTCCGTGGATTGAAATTTTTAAAATAAGGCAAATGAGAACGTACACCTATTCATCAAAAGGAAAATATAACTTTTCTAAAATATTTTAAATAATGGCTGTAGAATTTAACAGAGGCTATTAAAGCGTACAAGTTCCATAAAATTATGCAAGTATTAGTACTCTCCTACTGACAGAAGTAAAGTGGTAAACAGAACGCTCGTTAAGTCTTATTAAAATATAAACCTCTTAATCCTAACTTGCTCTTTGTTTCCAAGTACATTTAATGACATTCCCCCAGCTGCATAAGATATAAAACTTTGCAGCTGCAAATAGCACAAAACAGTTGGAACGAACGAACAATGATCTGCAATGTAAAATCTCATCAAACCAACTCCAACGCTTTTCGTGTTATCAGCTGACATAGAAAAGAAACTTTCGTGTTTTTTAACTACATCATAATACGTAAAGTAAAAATGTGCTGTGATTAAAACATGTTTAATTTTCCCATTAAAAGTTCTTTTAACATTTTTGCTCAGATAAATATTTAGCGAATTACGGGCGAGTCATATGAAACGCTCACTGAATCGCAATTGTGTTGAAAGGTAAGGTGCCCTTTACTGTAGTCAAATTAAAATATTGGAATGTTCAGACGAATGTTAGTAAAACTCCCAAAAATTAAATTTAATACAAATTTATTCAGCGATTTTCGAGATGTCACACGAGGTTAGACATACGTGACAAGAGGAAAAGACAGTTTTTAAAATTTGGTTTCAAACGCTCATAAAAAAGGAGGAAAATAAAAAAGAAGTTAAGAAGAAGAGATATTAAAATTAGGATCCGATGTGTAATATATATATATGTAAGATAAGAGGAGTCTCAAATTCGGTTCTCACCTTCTCCCAGTTACCAGGGCAGGAATCTCTGGGTTTTAATCTCCTCCCAGGAAAGTAATAGAAAAACGCAATTAAAAGTTGCGATGGAAACTTACATCAACAAAGTTTTCAATTCATTATTCAAAATCATTCTGTCATTCAATGCTATATAACCTGTGCAATTAAGAAAAATGTTATTAATATATTCTGCTGAAAAAATGAATGGCCTGATGATGGAAGCAGCAATGACCTCTGAAACGTCGGTAAACTTCTACCAGACTACACGGCGCAACAGCCCAGAAGACAGCCATCTGCGGGCTTACCGCCGTGAAAACCTCAAATCCTACAAACAAAGAATAAGTTAGAATCAAGAGGTTGGAATGTTAGACATAAATTAGTTATGTCCTATTGTTTATAGTTTAAATTTTTGATTTTTTGTAGCTGTTTGCATAAGCCCAACTGTGGGCAGGACAGTTGATTCCATAAAGTGACTTACTACATCTGAACTAAAAGGATGAGATATTTAGAATGAATGTTGCTTTATCTTAAGTCCTCATATTTTGCTTCGTGCTGTGGTTTTAATGTACGTGGGTAGTTATGATATTACGTAACCCTTTCTCATCAACCCACATCAGAAACATTGAAATGAACGGATATGCATTTGAGGTTTGTGCAGTTTCCGTGCCTGTTTTGCTGAAGATGTTGGGGGCAGAAGTAAATAACCACGTAACACTGTTCGCCAAGATGCGTTGGACGTTGGCGGTGTTCGTATCGCAGTGGCAGGATGGCTTCTTTATGTAGGGCAACGTTTTGCTGAAAATTTTATCAGGGCAACTCCCACACAAATGGGTAGGTATTCAGGCAGCGTACGATTCAGGACTGAGACACAATTACTTTTCTGTCTCTTTCTACAGAAACAAGAATTCTCCCAGTCTCCCGTTGTAGGGGTAGACAATTATTTTTACTCGAAGCGAGTGGGTCAGAGAATCTCGTAAATTCTGATTTTCGGTATCATTTATATCTATCTGTTATCGTTTTATATGTTGATGACAAATCACTTACATCATTATGGGAGTATTTCTTGATATTGCTGGACAGTCGCGTAACCAAGGGGGCAGGTGAATTTGGTGTTAAACTCCCCCTTTAGAGCCGTCTGTAGCAAGATGCCCGCGCTGGGTCTCACACTTCGACATCACGAAATATGCAATACACTTTTTTGCACCGTTCTAGCTTTGACG